ATGTGGATTTCCAAGGAATTACTGTCTGGAGAAGGTCTCTGGCAGGTATGACATCATAGCATCTGTAAATAATGCAGCACAGAATGTGCTACAGGCAGCCCTCCTCAGGTCTCTGCACCTGGATGTGGCACTGGTTTTGCAGTAACAGCTTTTACTGAGGTCAGAAACTGCACAGAACAGCGCCAACGTAAATGAAAGCATATGCCCATTGTATTTATGTGCTGGATGATTCTGGCCCAGTCGTGTGTGGGATTTTGTCTGTGAGGAGTTAGACTCTTAGTTTCACCGTCTTCTCCCACATAATTGTTACCATTCTTTTCAAGGCTGGCATGTTCTGGCCTCTGTGAGGGTGAAGATCAGCAGATATAAAAAATAAAGATGGCAGTCAAGCCAGTGGCAAATGGTGTGTTGTGCTTTGGAGCCAAGGCTACCTAGGCTTGGACCATGAGTCCCCATTTTCAAAGCTGGGTGACTCTTGCAAATTAGTGTGCCTCAGTTTCCTCATCTGTGAAGTGGGAATAATCTTAACCACATCAGAGGGTCATTGTGAGAACAAGATGATTTAACCTACGGAAAAAGCTCAGAATAGCTAGTGCCCAGCATGCTGTGAATAATTTATAACTGCAATGGTTACTACTAGCCTGTGATAAACTCATCTGAAGATGAATTTCTTGAAAAGTAAGTATTGTGCCTGCAAAAATCTGAAAATCTAAAATACATTGAAGGGCCCAGGAGGTAAATAAAAAACTTATTTTTTTCAATGCAAAAATGCTTTGCAGATGATCTAAATGACAAGTGTGCAGAGCTGAACAAAATTGAAACAAACAAATGTTATCACCAACAGCTCTTTACTAACTTGAGTGGTCTTAAAGCTGCTAGATAGATAGGTTTAACTTTTTTCCTCCTGTGCTTTTTTTTTTTCTTTTTTGACTGTGTCCTGTGGCATCTTAGCTCTCAGACCAGTGATGAACACATGCCTCCTGCTGTGGAAGCACTGGACCACCAGGGAAGTCCCCCTGCCTGTCCTTTCCAAACCTACCTTCTTATGTAATTTATCTAAAGCGGAAACTTTTGTCAATGAAAAAGGAAAGGAGAGTGTTGGACCTTTGTGTTTCCAAGTGCTAGGGACTGGGAAGGAATTGGGAAGCTGGGTACCCTTGTTATAGTTGCTCAGTCTGACTCTGGGCAGCCCTATGGACCATAGTCCACTAGGCTCCTCTGTCCATGGGATTCTCCAGGCAAGAATCCTGGAGTGGGTTGCCATGTCCTCCTCTAGGGAATCTGCCCAAGGGGGACTGAACCCTCTGCTCTGGCCACATCTCCTGCATTCCAGGTGGATTCTTTACTGCTGGGTTTTGCTTTATTCTTAAGCTCAGAAGTATATCTGATTGCTATGAAGAAAGGTTATTTCTTTCTCCTGGACATCACTGGACTGATTTTAACATTTAAAGTGAACCAAGTTGTCTTAGGAAATCCTTACTTGTATGCATTGGAAAATAGTGGAAGTCTCCTTGTGCAGAGGCTCCCGAGGAACGGAAATGCCTCAGGTGATGAGGCAGTCTCTAGGGCAGTGCCAAATGGAGTGGACCTCTGCCAGGCTCATTGGAAGCTGGGGATAATGACTTGGAAAAGAGAGACACCATTAAGTGAATGGAGTTTGCAAATGTTGCTCTAACTAGAGCTATCTATGTATATTGATACAATCAAGAAGGATTCTTTTTTTTTTTTTTTTTTTTAAGGCAGGGACAGAGGCCTTAATCAAAATTGAAAGACAATCGGGAAGTCTTTGCAAAATTTGAACCAGTATTTCTGGAGAAGGGAAAACACATGACAGTAGAGTGTGAGTAGAAGATTCTTATGGTAAGAATTGTCAGGGCAGAAGGTGAGCAAAAAAGCAAGAAGGAATTTCTCTTTATCCAGGGCACCAAAGCTAGAAGGCAATAGCCATGGTTATGGGGATACCTACTGTATCTTGGTATGCTTTCTGGGCTAGCCCTAAAAATTCTATGCGTTCTTGTAACAGTGTCGGCCATAGATGTATTTCACAATATTGATGGAAGGGAAACAGCAGCCCAGGAGGGAACTGAAAGGAAGGGTCACCCATTTGCAACCTCCTGTGTTCTGAGGAACCCTGGGATTCCAAGGAGATGGTCCTGGTGGGGACAGTTGCCTGTACATTTAAGTCCCATTACTGGTTCCATCCAGCAGTTCCTTAGCTGGGTCACCTTACCTCTGAACCTTTATGTCTTAGTCTATTATATAAGGAGACTAGATCAGATGAGTGGGTTTTGAGTAGTAAAACTTTTTGTCAAGTGGCACAGAAAGCTGGCACAGAAACCTAATATGTAAAATGAGTAGAGTATGAAATGAAAAGGGGAGTGAGGAAGTGATTGGCTCCCAGTGTCTCATAAGACAGCTATCTTGTCTCTCAGTTAACCAGAAGACCTAGTTAACCAGAGCACTCTGTTGGCTAAATGGGAATCCACCAACTATATTTACTTGCAAGACTGTGAAACTGTGCAAACCCAGTTGTGGTTTCATTTATTATTGAAAAGAATGTCAGAGAGTTTGGAATCACCACAGGCCAAGGTTGAAAACTTATAGAGAAAGGAGTTGTTCTGCCATGGCAAGAGAAAGTTCTGGCTGCCTAAGGTTTTATTCCTGGAACAGCAAATTGTGTCTCTAATTTATTTACTTAAGAGAAGACCTGCTGGGGAAGTGGAGAAAACCGTCAAACTGTATTCTTCGGGCAGAGAACAGAGAGTAAATTTGTGAAATGCTTGGCAGAATGAACCCTGCTGCAGAAATTCCTTATGATAATGATCTTTTAATTTGATTTATACTTCATTGGGAAGAAACACAGTGTTCAGAAGCTTGCCATTTTAGCATTTGCAAAGAGAGCAGAGAACTAATTTAATATCCACGAACTGGAGATTCACTTTAGAGAAGCATCAGGTCCATTTGTGATGTTTGAGTCAGTTTGCCTCTCAAAGGAGTGGCTTTGTCCCAGACAATTCTCTTACTCTGTCACCAAAGTGTATTGCTTCTGGTTTATTTAGCCTAGTGGCAAGATGCTGAGAGAATGCAATCTCTGCTGTTCACAGAAATGAACCTGTGTTGACCCCCAGTAGTACATGAGAGATCACGGAAGCGGAGGTACTTTGAAGTTCATCATATTCTGGTACAATGTTCCTCTAAAAGCATTTGAAACCATATGGCCCCCTAGCTACCTGCAGCAATTAATATTTGTAAGACTTTTAAGATTTATCCTTTTAAAATGATTTGTTTTGCCAATTTCTTGCAGCAGTCCCCAACCTTTTTGGCACCAGGGACTAGTTTTGTGGAAGACAATTTTTCCATGAACCGGAGTGGTGAGGGGATGGTTTCCGGATGATTCAAGCACATTACATTTATGGTACACTCTATTTTTATCACATCAGCTCTACCTCAGATCATCAGGCATTAGATCCTGGAGGTTGGGGAGCCCTGATTTAAAGTTTATTTTCTCCCAGATTCAAACTTTTCTTTAGAGAGACATAACTATACTTTGAAAAAAAGTAATGAAAAAAGAAGTATTAGTTATAAAAATATTCACTTGATAGATCATACTTTTAAGGAAGCAGAGAGAAGAACTAGTATTTCTTGAGGGTCCACTGTGAACATCTAGGTGCCTAATGTGTTTCCTTCTTTAATCCTTCTGATAACCCCAAGAGATGCAGAGGTTATCTTCATCCTGCAGAGAGTTTTGCCCATGTTCGCATATTAATAGTTCAAGGGCTTCCCTGGTGGCTCAGTGGCAGAGAATCTGCCTGCAATGTAGGAGATGCAGGTTCGATCCCTGGGTTGGGAAGATTCCCCTGGAGGAGAAAATGGCAACCCACTCCAGTTTTCTTGCTGAGTCAATCCCATGGACAGAGGAGCCTGGCTGGCTACGGTCCTTGGGGTCGCAAAGAGTTGGACACAAGTGAGTGGCTGAGCAGAACACCCAGGCACGTAGTTCAAATTGGCCAAAATGGCTTTGGAACCTGGACCCATCTGAAGTGACATTCCATGGTTTTTCCCTTGACTCCAGGGAGGGGCCAAGTGAGATGAGATGTGTTTGTGCTATTGCTTCCTCCTTCAGGCAAGTAGCCAGAGTGTGTTAGTTGGAGGTTCCAGTCCCCTTTCCTTTAATCAAGAGGCTGTTTTTGGAGGCAAGAGTAAGAGAGTGCATGAGATGGGCATGTGCAGTCATTAACTCATTCAGTCTTTGTCCATCGTACCAGTGTGATGCCGAGCCACACTGGAGTCTGAGAGGCACAGGAAAACTCAGTTATAATGACTCTGTCTCTAGTATTTTGCTCATTATGGAATTTTTTGCATTAATTTTGGTTTTTCAGTATATTGCATGAAAACCTCTTTCATCTGATGCCTGAGTTTTTTGGCGCCCCTTTAAAATTTGCACCTGTGTCCATTGCCTCCCCTTCCCAGCTCTGGTACTTACTTTATGTACCAGGCAATGAGCTACCTCCTGAGATACAAGATCAAGACACAGAGGAGCTTTCAAACTAGTGAGAGCCGACTGTGCAAACAGTCACAGCACAGCGGGGTAATTATAAGACTACGCACAGAAAGTAATGGGGAGGAGTTGCCGTTGAGTCAAGGTCCCTTGAAGGAGGGCTTGAGGGAGACCTGAAGGCTGCCTGTGGCTCGGCCAGTGGCTACGTGGGTGGAGGAAGGATATGTGGGGAGTGCTGGAAAATGACAAGTCCTTTCTTGACTCTGAGCCTCAGTTTTCTGCATCTGTAAAATGGAATGGTAGCACCCACTTCATAAGGTTGTTGTCAGGAATGAATGAATGAATGAATGAATTCCCTGTGTTAGCCCAGAGAGTAGATTCTGGTGTGTAACCTGATACTGTGTCTTAGTCATAGTGGTGGTGATGATGATGAAAATAATGCTCCTTATAAGATGACAGTATCTTTAGACCACATACACAGTCTCTGAACTTTGCTTTGCAGACATCCACGACAGTGATGGGAGCTCCAGCAGCAGTCACCAGACCCCCAAGAGCACAGCCAAATGGGCGTCTTCCCTGGAGAATCTGCTTGAAGACCCAGAAGGCGTGAAAAGATTTAGGGTGTGCCTTTTTCCTTGTTGACCGGAATGTGGGGGGAACACAGGCCAGTTTTTTATACTGTCCATCCCAACTTGAGAGAAAACTTCTCACCTGTCATGACCAACGTGGGCATGCTTTCCCGGGTGGTCATGGACCAGCGCTGAGGGGCTTGCCCCGACTGTGTCTGGTTTATATAACTGGGAGGGGTAGGGGATGGGGAAGAGGTACTGTGCCCATTGGCCGAATCTGCAAAGAATTTCCAGCCCTGTGACACCTAGGACGGGGCAGTCAGGGTCTCCCTGATGTGAAGGCTTGTTCTCTCATGTGCTGGGGCTTCTCAGGTTACACTGCTTGTAGAGTGAAAGAGGCTGGACAACAGCTGGTAACGTGAAGCTGAACTCAAGGGAGGACAGGCGGATGGGGAAATGTCAGTACTGCCTAGAAATGGCCTCCAGAAACCCCAGGTGTCTGAAGAACCTGTAAATTTCAAGAATGCCTGTATCTGCCTGAGTCCCACTGACTTCTGTCTTTAGTCCTGGGTCAGACCATCAAAAGCCATCCTGCTGTTGGTTCCCTTTGCAGACTCCAGGGAGCGGGTGGCAGCCACTCCTAGACACGGGCCCTCTGTAAGCAACATCTAGATCTCGGGGAGAAAACTTTTCCGTGCACGTTGGGATAGCTGGCTGTGCCACTGACCCCCAACATCTGCCAAAAGAAAGCACACCTCCAACTTAAAATAGTTTTCATTGTGGTGTTTTTAGACGTGCTTAATATGTTTTCTTTTCTTTTGTTTAAAAAAAAAATGAGCCTGATTTTAGAGGAATGTACTTTGTTTAAATACTGTCTGGAAGGAACTAATATATCTTCCACTTTAATTTACTTTTTGGTAATTTATTGTTAGTTGAGAATTGTTGAGTAGATTCTTGCTTCATTTTTACACTTCTTCAAAATGTTAAAACCATTAAGTTCGAATGCATATGAAATTCTAGCTTTAACATTAAGCATAACACTGTTTTGGGGATGGAGCTTTTACAGAGCGAGTGGACATGCTCATTTGTCAAATTTTGACTTATCACTTCTTGAAAGGAAATGCATTATTTGTTTCTTTGTTTTTTAAGTAGAATACTGTTTGATATTTTTTTCTTCTCTTCATCCATAGGAATTTTTAAAAAAGGAATTCAGTGAAGAAAATGTTTTATTTTGGCTAGCATGTGAAGATTTTAAGAAAACACAAGATAAAAAGCAGGTACTTCTTTCACTCTGTAAACGTGTTCTTGCCAACTTTTTTTCTTTCCTTATAAAGTTACAATTACCTTTCCAATAAATTTTGAAATTGCCAACAGAAATCCAAACCATATTGGATTTGGGGTAGGATTTAAGATTCAGAATAGCCTATCTTGTGTTGATCAAATATTAACAATTTTTAAAAGAGTGTGTTAATCTGTTTTCAAATGAAGCTGTTCAAATGAACAAATATTTAAAGTAAAAATAACGATTTAAGTCACTGAGAGTCTGCCATAGAGTATGATTTTTTTTTCATGAATAATTTATGTGAATGCTCCCTCTAGGGCTTGACATGTTGGCGTTTTGTATGGACGTCGTAAAGCAGATGCGTGGTGATAAAAGCATAAGGCGCATCAGATGGATTGTCAATTATTCAATATATCTTTACAAAACATCTTGTAGTTGGCAGGGATCCCACATAGAAAGTTTCTGACTGTTCTCCTGGGTGAATATGTGCTCTTTGCAGGAGGCAGTCTTTAATTCCAATGTCAGCTGGATTTTCTGCCACTGAAGGTTGGGTGTCAAGGGAGGTGGAGGAGATTCTGGGCAAGGATGCTTGAGGATTGGGTGTGTTTACAAGGCTCGTGCTTGTGTCTTTCTAAGAGGCTCATGGCTAAATGCCTACATGTGTGTGTGCTAAGTGCTTCAGTTGTGCCTGACTCTTTGCAATCCTATGGACCTATGGCCCACCAGGCTCCTCTGTCCATGGGATTTTCCAGACAAGAATACTGGAGTGAGATGCCATTTTCTTCTCTAGGGGATCTTCCGGTAATAATGTGCATGAAGGAGGTTTTTGGTTTGAGGCTGTAGGGAGTGGTGGGGATTGGGGCATTAGGGGGTGGCCTGTCCTGCCTCCAGTGGCTGGTTGTTTAGCTGACTTCAGCAGCAAATGCCTTGGGGTCTGTGGCTGCCTGAACTTTCCCTGCCTTGGGTTCTACCCACCTAGGTCTTTGCTGAGGGACCTTGCTTCTTAGGGCATCTTCTCCCATCTTTAGTCCAACCGCTGCCTGTTTTTCCAGAGAAGCTGGACGTTTGGATTCTTATGTGAAACCATCCAATCTTATAAATGATGGAACTGATTTTTTTAAAATGTGAAACGTTTCCTGCCAAACAAAACATAGCCATGGGCAGATGTGGCTTGTGGGCTGCCAGTTTTTAAGCCTCTGGCTCCAAAAAGCTGGAATCCATGAAGCCAGAAGCCATTACGTGTTTGCAGAAAATATCTGTCATTGGTTTATTCAAAGGCTTTTCTGCCTCAGACACTCTTTCCCCAAGATGGAGTGGTGTGGCCTTTGTTCCATGCCTTCCCTCTGCAGGGGCAAGGATAGATGGATTCTGAGATTCCTGGAGCTGGATTTCCCAGGCCAGCCCAGAAAGCCATCCTGGGCATGATCCTTGACATCAGCTTCCTTCTTGCTTCTCCCCACTGTATGACTTTGCCTGGGCCCTTTGGGCTTTGCTGGTGGCTCAGACGGTAAAGAATTTGCCTGCAATGCAGGAGGCCCGGGTTGCATTCCTGGGTCAGGAAGATCCCCTGGAGAAGGGAATGGCAGCCCACTCCAGTATTCTTGCCTGGAGAATCCCCACAGATGGAGGAGCCTGGTGAGCTACAGTCCTGGGGTGGCAAAGAGTCAGACACAACTGAGTGACTAGCACTTGGGTGATGTCTCACCCATTGCTCTCCTTGGCCGCCAGCACCCAGCCCAGAGCCCAGGGGCCACCGTTGACGAATGCTGACCTGGGCCATGGACTCATCTGGCCTCACCCTAAAGCGCTAGGTCAGAGTCAAGCGGGACAGATGGACAGATGGCCACTCTCCTGCCTCAGTGTGCGTGATGGAGGTGCGAGGGGCTGGCCAGTCAGCCAGCCGCTCCTCTAAATGCAAACGGGGCAGCGGAGGTCCCTGCACGGCTGAGCTGGGACTTGAACCTGCCTCCTGAGCCTCCCAGGTGTCCCTGCCCGTGGTGCTGACATGCCCTTCCTTTCGGTCGCATCTGCTCAGGGCCAGGCCTTGTGCAAAGCATGGGTGCCACGCAGGGACGGGACAGCCGAGCCTCTTTCGGGAACAGGCCCTGAGAGCGGAAGCTCCCTGTTCGCCAAGCCTTTGCAAGTGCGACGAACCCAGAAATGGGAAGTGCAGGTTCCGTGGGAGCACAGGCAGTCGGTGTGGGGCAGGCCTCTGGGGAAGTGACTCTTCAGCTGACACCTCAGTAGAGTCTGGGGACGGGGGTGAGGTTGGGGGTGGGCGGAGTGTTCCCAGAAGAGGGCACAGCCTGTGGGGAGGAAGCCCTGGAGAGAAGAGCTGAAGGCAGACCTGGGGGGAGGCGGGCAGGAGGCTCGTGTTCGGGGGCGGGCTGGCTTCGTTGTGCCTGCTTGCACGTTGTGCTGGGAGGGAGGTGGGGTCACGGCCGGAGAACCCCGGGTGCCAAGGTAAAGACTGGAAAGCCACAGGGTTCGAGTGCACGGGCCCATCCAGCTCCGACAGCCAGAGCTTCCAGAATGCAGCAGCCCCTCTCTGCACCCCCAGCCCTGACACCGACTGTGTGTCCTGAGGCCGGGACGTTGCTTCAGGGCAGTGCCTCACCCGTCAGCTGCCTGAGGATGTGGACGGCTCTGGGACAGACGGAGAGTCCCATCCGGGAGGCCCATGGAGTCCACACCTCCTTCCCGGTCATCACACGCAGCGTCCTGACCCTTCCCCACCCCTCCCAGACACCGGGGCTGCGGTCTGAGAGGTTAGGCTGTGGCTCGCCCACGGCCCCCGGGGCTCGGTGCAGACAGCCGGGAATGCAGCCCGGCTCTCTGCTCCAGACCGTCTTGCGGGTCCGGCCGCAGGGAAGTAAAACCAGAACTAAGTTCTGCTTCACTAATTTTAAGATGCGGAGGAGGACATGGCCCAGGGAGAAGTCAGCCCAACTACATTTCACAATCGGACTCATCACGTCTGAGCCGGCAGGGAGTTTGTTGACTGTCTGTCTCTACTGTGAGCTAAGGCAGTTGCACGATGGAGGCTGGTCTCACCTTGGCCTCGGTTTAAATTGGACCTGTGCTGGGTGCTGATTTCGTTCTTTTACTATCATGATCCAGCCAGATGGCTCCATAAGCTCTAACCAACTTACCTGGTACCTTATATTTATTTATCTCCTGTTCAGTTTGCCTTTCCCTCTATCATGAGGGCTCTCTAGGGCTGACGAGCTTTGTCTGTCTTCTGTGCCAAGCCTAGGACGGTGCCTGGCTCACTGGGTCCTCCCTGATCTCCACTCAGGTCAGCTGACCCCTGAGAACCTGCAGTGGGCAGGATCGTGGCCTCCCTGCTCACCTTGAGCTGCAGTTACAGTCTTAGGGGTAGACTTGAGAAAGGGGCGTGCTGTCTGTTCTGCTGGGGTTTGAACTCTCAGAAACTCCAGACAGTGGACCCATACTGTGCCTTCACTGCCTTCCCTGGTCTGTGCTTCCCTGGCCGGCAGGAAAGCAACCCTTTAGTTTGGGAGGGTCTCAGAGCTCTGTATTTATGATGGGGGATGCTGGGGCTATAGGAAGTTGGGAGGTGATGCCTGCCCCGCTCCTGTCTCGGGGTTCCTAGGGGTTGTAACTTCCAGGTTTTCCTATTCCGCACACAGCTTTCAGAGCCATTCTTTCCCTTGGCGATTTCCTTATGGTTTGACATTTTTCTATAAACGGCTTCTTCCCCGCGAGTTAGCATGGGAGATACATCTACCTTCTAACACAGAGCAACATTCATGTCTTATAAAACCTCTGAAAAAGCTCCAAGAAGGTGTTTGTTCTTTGGCTCTCCCTCATTCATTCATTCATTTTTACTCATTCATTCATCAGCACATGCATAAAGGGCCTATTTACTATGTGACAATGATTGAAATGGATACAGCAGCTCCTACAGATTTGTAATAACCAAACTCAGTGGGGGTGGGGAAGTGGGGTGGTGCAAGATTTCTAATAATTAAAGCTCTAAGAGCAACTTGCACTGGTATTTAAATGTAACAAACAGTACCTTGCCTTTTTATAGTGGTTTAGAGTTAACCAGTACAGAGGGAGGGATCTGTAAAGAAATGTGAAGTCGCTCAGTTGTCTCTGACCCTTCACGACCTCATGGACTGTAGCCCACTAGATTCCTCTGTCCATGGAATTTTCTAGGCAAGAATACTGGAGTGGGTTGCCATTTCCTTCTCCAGGGGATCTTCATGTTTATTAATTTTATTATATTTAACACTAAAACTTGATCCAGGATTTTAGTGTTTGGCGTTCTTATTTAAAGTAATCGTAAAGGTCTTCCTAAAAAGACTAACACATCAATCTTCTTTATTAAAAAAATATATATATATATTATTTAAAGATCCAAAGATGCTCCTTATGTGAAGCTCATTCACTTCACAAGTGGATGGAGTACGAAGGTCTCGTTCCCGTCAGCCCTAAGGAGCCTCTAGCTTTCCCTCTTTCTCTGGTTTGGGCTGTGTCTTTCTGACCTTTGATATGGACTTGGCCGGGTCCAGGCAGGAGTGGATAGGAGCTCAGCAGCTCACAGTGTGGTCTGGGGCCTGGTGCGGCCTGCCCTGTATCTCCACCCCATCCTGGCTCACTTCATCATTCTCCGATATCCTCTACTGATGTCTTTTCACCATTATTATGAGTTGCTACTTACTTTATATCCCTGTCTACGGCATTTTCATTATTAAAACTTTATTGTTCACTGCTGAGCCCAAGAGGATGCTACGATTACATTTTTTTTCTTCTTGGATCATTTTTTCAAAAAAAATTATTTATTTATTATTTATGGCTGCGCTGGGTCTTCCTTGCTACTCGTAGGCTTTCTCTAGTTGCCGCAAGTGGGGGCTACTCTCTTCTTGTGGAGTGTGGGTCCAGCAGTTGTGGAGCTCAGACTTAGTTTCCCCGAGGTACGTGGGATCTTCCCGGACCAGGGATCGAACCTGCGTTCCCTGCATTGGC